CCATCTTCATTGCATGAACACTCTCTGCAACCCCTAGTTCTCAACTATAAAGCCTTAGGTTATCGGATTCTTGGTCAAAAGCTTGTCAGAGTCTTAATAAAAGTGCAGAGTGGGCTAGGAGAAGAGATAAGTTTTCTTTTGAACTCTATTTTATCACTTGAGGAAGATTTTTCGTTGATCACTCTTGTGTGATTCCTCTCCATGTTCTACTAAGCCGACTTTTTTCCTCCTAAAGTTTCTTGCTTCACAATTTTTCTGTCTATGGCTCTTAAAATGCATGAAAAAGGGAGTTCTTCATTTGTCTATGACCAAAAATGCTTTGTGAAACTTGCTGCTCAACAAAGACTTCTGAGCTTTGTGTACAAGAAGAAGCCCATCCTAGAACGTGCCTTTCAATTTTCAGGGAGAGATGTTGAAGCGGTGATTGTGAATCATGGGCGGCAAAACTTTACCCATTCCTATAAACTCACCGTTGTCAATCTAGTCCGCAAATTCTATGCAAATGCAAAAGAATTTGTAGATGGGAAAGTCCTTGTGAGGGGCAAGATGGTTCCATTTGATGTCATTATGATTAACCATATTTTTTATGTACCTGACATCTCTAATCGTGGGTTCTCGACTCTTACTTCCCATGATTACTAGTTGGTAATATGTTTTCTCACAACCTCCACAAGTGCATAGAAGACTCGCCTTGGGGTTGGAGGAGAGGTGCTGATCAATTTCCTCCTCACCCACATCAATAGAAAGTCTAAAGCTTGACATTATTTTAATGTAGCTAGGATGCTCCCCACCACTAGCCTTGTCGATGTGATAAAAGAGCGGGCCATTCTGAATTTCTGTATTCAAAAGGGCATTTCTGTGGATGTGGGGGTTCTGATTCATGAGTCCATTACCTACATTGCCAGTGGTCAGTCGATCGTAGGTTTAAAGCATCCTAACCTAATCACTACCCTGTGTGCTAGGGGGGGATTTATGGAGGTGAGGACAAGGAGCTTTGGCACCAACAGAAGCCAATATCATTTACTTCTATTCACGTTTATGCCTCGACATCTGTTGCACCTTTTGAGTGAGAAGAGAGTTCTTCACAACACTGATCGTTGGTGTCACGTGACTCCACCCCAAGATGGCCTGACCTAAGACATGAGGGAGATGTTGAAACTTCAGGGGGAGTTTATCAGAAACTTTAGAGACCTTCATAGCACACAGGATGCCATGTCATGGGAGCTTGATGACCTTCATTGCTAGTCTACATATTATGTTAGCCAGCACCAGCGTCAGTATGAGTCTTCCATGGCCAGCTGAGAGCATTCTGGAAGCAGTGGGGAATGGTACTTGCACCATCACTACCACCTTTCATCATTTAGAGCCCAACCTGCGATCCCTCCATGAGACTGACCAAGGAGAGTAGAGAGACTGTGTTTTGTCTAATGTTGTGTTTTTTGCCACTGATTGATTTTTATTTCTAAACTTGATCTTTGTACTGGCTTTACTATGGATTCTATCTCTATGATCTGATTGTTGGATGTGATAGCAGCGGACTTTTTCTTCTTTACATTTTATTGCTTGCATTATGTCGCATGTCTCCAAAATTTTTTTACTTGTTATACTTTGATAGCTTGTCTACAGATTCATAACATGTACTATCACATATTTTGTTGTGCACTATTTATACGTAGCCAGTAAACTGTGGAAAAATATTTGGGGTAGGAGTCATCATCAGGCAGCCACTGGTAATTCTTAAGTTTGGTGAGATTATTTTATTCATTACCTCATTTCATACAGCTTGGTCTACTAATATTAAGAAGTAAAAGAAAATTTAATACATTAAGGAAATGTGAAATTTATTTAAGGTTAGGATGTAAATGAATATTTGTAATTGAGTGTCTAAAAAGATTTGCTTCAATTTAAACATTTTTTTTTAAAATTTAGGAGGAATAATGAGATTAAGGACTTCTCATTAAAATTGCTTAACATTTAATGTCTTATTTTACTAAGTGATAAAGCTTAACTCGATTGAATTTATTTAGGAACTAGAAATCTTGATGAAGGGGTGGGTAAGCACTTGATTACAGTAGAGTAAGAAATTAAACAAAAAAAGGAAAAAGAAATAAATAATTAAACTTAACCAGATATAGTAATTTTTATAGTATATATATATATATAATATATATGAAAAAACCCAAGGGCTAATATATTAAAATAGAAAAGGTACAAATAGGTTGTATGATAGGACCCAAAAAAAGCACCCTACCCTCGCATTACAACATACACAAAGGTCCCAAAAAAGAAAGAAAACATGTAAACCCAAAAAATCAAAGCTGCCAAATCGCAGAAGCAAGTAGCTAAGGATGACGCAATTTAGTCCTGGCTCTGCCTCTAGTTCTAGGAAGGGAGACATCTAATAAATTTTTGAGTTTCATGCCATTACCCAAAGTAACCAATGTATCATCCATTAAGTTCTTGAGCTCAATTGGGTCTCCATTCTTCTTCTTCCTCCTGAATATGTAAACTTGTCATTCCTCATCTGAAAACTGACTCATCTGATCAATGTGTTGGTCAATAAATTCCTAGAAATGTATAAGTCGATGAGCTCATTGATCCTAACTAACAATAACAACTTTCTCATTCTGTTGAGGTGGTAGAACCGCGATAGAAAGAGTGCCAACCATTGCAACAATGATAGGTTCTAGTGTATGCAAAGTATGAATTGTCTCCTCTACACCTGATGCTTCCTAAAGATGAGAATCTTCAAGGCTCTCCTGATTATTAGACCGAACATTATCTTTACTAGGTAAATGTCCTTCAGTATTATTTGCAAAAAGGTTTGAAGTTGTAGGTTGCCCAGCAGAAACAGTCGAGTACTCAGGGGTGGAGAGGGACAGGTGTGAGTTGAGGCAAAGGACCCAGTAATATTTTTACTCATAGGTTTTAAATGAGGGTGCAAATGATGGCATTGAGAGTGGGAGTGTCCAAACATACGACTGTGGGTGCAGTGAAGTGGGATCTGTTAAATTTTTGTTCGCTGCGAAAAACCCTGATGATGTGAGCTAATCCAAATCTCCCCCAAAAAAGGTAAAGTAATGTCTTGTTCAATCAAAACTCTGGCTTCAGACAACAGAGTTAGATTAACTGTAAGAATATCAATTTTGAGAGATTTATCGTAAACCATAGCTAAGGAGAAGAGGAGCTCTTGATTGAAAAGATGGAACTTCAGACTTGGAGGTCTCTTCTAAGGGTGATGATCTAATGGTTCTGGTTTTATGTTTTTCTCATCAGCATTTTTTTTCTTGTTGGCCATCTCCAACAGTTTGGCCGAACTCTATGGTTCCACCAGGATGAGGTCGTACTGAAACCTTTCTCTCCTTAGGTTTTGAGTTAAGGTAGCATGTGACACATCAGGTTACAGATCCTTCACTTCCAACAACTCCCTTTGGAACTGCATAATATATGAACGTTTGTTCGACCCTTGTTTTAATCTATCACAGTGTATGTGCACTCTTCTTAGGCCTTTGGGTGCTTGCAAAATCCGTAACCAAAGGGTCTCCTGAAATTAGAAAAGCAAGTGATCACCCAAATCAACAATGAGTTGAGCCACCATAGAGTTGATGATCTCAAGGTGATGAAATATAAATGTCACTTAAGCCCATCACACACTTTCAAAAGGCACATCGATGATTCAAACAAAGTAAGGTGGTCATTAGGATCTGACCTACCCTTGTAAGATTCTAACATTGGAGTTTAAATTTCTTGGAGGGGTTTGGCTCCCAAGTTATGAACGTTGAATGGGTTCTTCTGTTGGTGTAGGACTCAAACTTCTGGATCACAGACTCTCCATTAGTGCAGATCCAACATTATCCTGGTATTGTGAATCTTCAGATTTAAATCTTCAATTGTTATGTGTCGGCTTTGCTTCTCAAGGAAGGTTATAGCCTCTAGAAGCGCACTCTTCTCCGTGTGTTGTAATAGCTCTAAGGACCTTCGAAGTAAGTCCTGCTATCTGATTCTTCATCTCTTGCATCTCTCGTTGCACGAACCTCTTCATGAACTCTCTGGTGCATTCTATGCTCACTATTTCTCTCTGTTAGATTTCTTCCTACTATCATGCTCCTCTTCTTGCTCACCACTTCTTTTAAGATGTTGAATCTAAAACTGTTCGGAAAACACGCCCAATGAATAGAGCGTGATAGATAGAGAGGGAGTCAGAGAGCAGTAATGAACATGAGAAAATGTGTAAACTTTATTTACAAAATGAACCCCCTATTTATAGATATGGGGACCATGAAATTATTTTTGATTAGTCGAGGCTTGTCGAACGATCAACACTCTTATCGATCGAATCAGTTCCCCGATCTTATTATATTTGAATAACTCTATAATTACAAAAAAATCTCTTTGAAAATACAGAGATGAGATGATTAATATGTACTTTTATAACAATGAGATCTATGCCTATAAATAGGGGTTCATGAATAATGATTAGACTCTCTTTTACTATAATTGGTTGTACTCTCTCTGCTATCTCTCTCCCTCCCCACCCCCACGGAACGCTCTAAATATTAGGCATGTTTCCCGAACATTCCCAATTTCAACAATATGAAAATTTAAACGTGAGTTTCACAAATACATAAAAAATATATGCTATGTATTTAAATGCCCCATACAATTATAGAAACAAATGTATTTAAATCCAATTGAAATCAAATTTTGAAAGTCACACAAGATAAGCTAAACTTATCAATAAGATCAAATAACACCACACAAACATAATTTAAATAAAATTTATTCTATCAATCATATATAACTATCTTAGAATTTATTTATATTCATTTTTTCTCATTTATTTTCATATTATTTAAACATAATAAAAAAAAAACTACATATAAAAAATACACATTCATTCATACCAAAATAAATTTAGAACATCTCCATCATTTTTTTTCCATAGTCGGCCCTGCCTTCATAAATTCAAGCCTCCTCACAGTTAGCCGTTCCCATCAATTAATCCCACCTCCTTAGACTTGCAGTCCACATAACCTTTCTAACCTTGGTTGGTGAAAGACCAGCAAGCATTTATACCCAAATAACCGCCCACTCCTCCCCCCACTTACTAATAACCCACGAAACCCTACCCCTCCCCACTCTCCCAAATCCCACCTTCCTCCCCCCAATGACAGAATCCGGCCACCCTCGCTCCTCCTCCTCCTCCCCCATCATCCCCAAACCCCTCCACCGCCGCCCCCTCCCCCGCCTCCTCCTCATCCTCCTCTTCCTTCTAATCCTCCTCATTGCCATCTTCGTCATCCTCGCCCTCACCCTCTTCCGCCCCCGCGACCCTCGCACTCAACTCGTCTCCACCACCATCACCGGCGTCTCCCCTCGCTTTTCAATTCCAAACCTTACCCTCTCCATCAACCTCACCATCGCTTTAGACATCCTCGTCTACAACCCTAATCGAGCTTCCTTCACCCACGACCACGGCTCCACCCGCCTCCTCTACCGCACCGCTTACATCGGCGACGCAGACGTCCTCCCTGGCCGCATCCCCTCCCATGGATCCACTCACGTTCAAGTTTCCCTAACCGTCGATGGGTCTCGGCTTTCCGGCGAGGCGGGGAACTTAGTAGCCGACGCTTTGGCCGGTGAGGTGGATTTCGACGCCGAGACGAGGATCCCTGGGCGGCTCAAGTTCTTGGGCTTTATCAAACACCACGCCGTAGCGATCTCGAAATGCCATGTCGCGGTTGGGTTCCCCAACTTGAAGGTCAGGCGACAGGATTGCACGCAGAAAACAAAATTATGATCACCGGAGAGGTGACGGGATTCGATCTGGGAAGATATGGTAAATTGGTATTATGGTTTTTATTGGTGTAGATTCGTAAAGTGATATAAAAATAAAAAAAAAATCTTTTAGTAAAAACAAATTGACTTCCGGGTTATTATGAGTTATTCATGTATTATTGTGGTGGTTTTTATGTATTATTGTGTTTTAGAAATATTCTCAGTATTATAATAACACAATAATACATCAGTGTCACCACAATAATACTTAAATAACGCGAAATAACACGAGAAGAATATTTTATTGTGTTACCGGGCTGGATCACAAGAAAATAAGTTTTTTTTTTCTTATCAGCTCAACGTAGAGGTGATTCATTGAACTCCAGATGTATCTCTACATCTGGAGTCCGGAGTTAATAATTTTTCGTAGATTTTAAAGTGATGGATTTATTTTGAGATATTTTATAATTAATTAAATTTATTTTATGTGTATCTCGAAATAAATTTTATATTTTAAAATCTATGTAATTAAATTTTGGTTGGATATTTTTTGGAGGTGTAATTTATTATGTATATTTATGTAAGGTTAGTAAAGAGGTATACGATTGTGGTTTTTGTGGGTTGATTCGTTTTTCATTATATCTTTTCAATATTTTAGATTTACTGATGAATTATTGTTTGTGATTTATTTTTGCTGTGGGTTTCTCATAGGTGTGTAAACGAACCGAACACGAACGAATAGAGATTGTGTTCGTGTTTGAAATTTAGTTTGTTTGAAATAAGCTCGCTTTCAAAATTGTTCGTGAAGTCCTTGTTCGTGTTCGTTTCTTAACAAATGAGTCGAACACGAACTGTTTGCGAACGACGAGCCAGTTTGACATCCCTAATATTAATATATATAAATAATATATTATATTAATTATATAATTTATATTTTATAAATATATAATATCTATATTAGTATATTACTAATATAGTATATTAATATGTTATTATTATTAATTTATTATATATTGTAATTTATAAAATTTAATTTTTTTAAAATATCATAAATTTTTTATGTATAATTATTTTAAATTATTCAATATTTCGAACAATAATGATTTAAACACGAACGAACACATCACAGTTCGCGTTTGGTTCGTTTAATTAGCCAACGAAAAAAATTTGCTTACATTCGTTTCGTTTAGTTATCGAACGAATGGAATATGAACTCATTAACAAACCGAACACATACTATTTGTGAACAACGAGCTTTTTTGACGGCCCTAGTTTCTTATGTGTAAAATAGGTATGTATTTTCTACCATTAATAAAAGAAAAAAGAATACCTTAGAGATAGGGTTTTATTTCTGTTTATTTTTATGTAATAATGATAGAAAATAAATTTAAAATGTTTTAATTTGAATTTTTATTTTAATTTTGAGCATTCGGAATTCATATTTAATTTGATTTTTTTTTTTTTTTTGCCATTTTATTATTATTTCTTCCCCTGGCAGAAAAAAAAAAGAAGTTTAATCTAAAACTTGGAGAATTTAAACATATAATCTGAGTGAAAAACAAAAATATATTTGTTTACATTTTAATTTTCTTATTTATTAAAAAAATTTAATGATTCAGGGAACTTTAATAAATTCAATCATAACAAAAATATTGGTTTCTATTCAACATGATAGTTTCATCAAAATTTTATCAAATATCTATTATTTTTAAAATAAATTTTAATGAATTAGCAAGATTTCATTTGTTCAATTTACTTAACCAAATAAAGAGGATTTTAAAGAAGTTCTTATTTGGGTCAAATTTCTATATCTTCCTCTTGATTTTTACCTGCTCTGAAAATTTTATTTCAAAAATTGCTAGTACCATGAGGATTCCTCCAACAGTTCATCCTTTAAATGCTAAAGGAACATGACTCAGTTATGATAGAGTTAATATACATGTTAATGTGGATTTGGTTTTGCCTTGTTTTATAGTTATTATGGCTAAGGGAAACAAAATGTTAATTATTGTCATCTATGAATGGAAACCTGTGCCTGGCATGAATTTTTCTACTTACACTACACCCATAATCCTACAAACTTATTGGGTGATGTGGAGATCTGATCCACCGCAATTTAATTAGCTTCCTAATTAAGAATTTCACCTACCACATCCTACCTACCGCTCACCTAACTCCTACCTACCGCTCTTTTGGTTTATATAAATAGTCTCTTATGGTTTGTCATAAACAAGTCAAGCCAAGCCAAGTCAAATCCTCTAAGAGACAAAGAGGGGAAGAGAAAAAGAGAGATAGAGAGAGAAGAAAATAAAGATTTTCATGTAAACGTCGAGGCACTCAACGGTATAGTTCCTCGAAGAAATAAAATCTTCTGCAGCTCCGTGGATGTAGGCAAATTTGTCAAATCACGTAAATCTGTGTGTCACTCTGATGTTTTTTTTTCATGCAATTTTTTTTGTTTCATTTTTCGTTTTATTGTCATCATTTTTCACAACAACTCGTATCATAGACTTGAGTTCGAATCTAAGGAATAACGATGGGCAGAGACGAAGTGTTGACATCGGGGATCGAGAAATTCAATGACACAGATTTTTCTTATTGAGGATGCAGATAGAGGACTACTTTTGTGGGAAGAAACTTCATCTTCCGTTACTGGGAAAACAACTAAAAAAGATAAACGAAACGGAATGGAATTTGTTGGATCGATAGACTTTGAGGGTTATTTGATTAACCCTGTCGAGATCGATTACCCACAACATCATCAAGGAGACGACTACTGCATATCTCATGACTGCTTTATCAGGTATGTATGAAAAGCCATCAGCGAATAACAATGTGCACTTGATGAAAAAATTATTCAACTTGAAGATGACGGAAGGTGTGTTTGTTGATTTACGCCTGAATGATTTTTGTTTGTTGAAATTGATTTTGATGATGAAATACGTATGCTGATATTGTTGGCTTCATTGTCAAATAGTTGAGAAACCATGAGGATGACAACTCACAATTATGCAGGTAAATTTAAGTGGAAATATGATGATATTAGTGATTTGATTTTGGCTGAGGAGGTGCGCAAGAAGGAGTCTGGCGAGGCCTCATGTTCAAGTTTGACTCTGAATGTTGATTCCAGAGGGAGATCACATGACATGAAATCAAACAGAGGAAAAACAAAATCAAATTCTAGTCAACAGACAACCTGCTGGAATTGTGGCGAGGTAGGTCACATAAAAAAGAACTGCAGGAATCCTAAGAAGAAGGAGAATGATGATGCTAATGTTGTAATTGAAGAAATACAGGATGCGCTATTGCTAACAGTTCACAGTTTTGTTGATGACCAGATACTGGATTCAGGGGGCTTCCTTCCATATATCTTTTCACTGGAAGTTGATGCGAAAGTATGTCGCAGATGAATTTGGGAAGATACATTTGGCTGAAGAAAAAGCTCTGAGCATGGTGGGGATGTGGACGTTGATATTGCACTCCATAACAAGAACAAATGGGCTTTGCAAACGGTCAGACATGTTCCTGAATTAAGGAAAAACCTCATCTCTGTTGGGCAACTCAATGAGGGTGGTCATTCGGTGGTGTTCTCAGATAGCACTTGGAAGTTTACTTAAGGAGCATTAGTACTGGCTCAAGGTAAGAAAACTGACACACTATATATGACTGACACACTATATATGACTGTATGACTGCATGTTTACTCAGGCGAGGACACATGAGTCAGAGGTACATTATAAAGAAGCAGAAGATTGTTAATTTTCTGAAAAGTGACAGAGCTCCAAAGGCTGAAAAATCGAACTTGTACAGACAAATGGTAGAGAACCACAAAACTATGAATAAATCTTGCAAGATGAGAATTCGAGCAAGTGGGAGCTGACCAAGAAGGAGGTGATAGATTCCCTATCGGAAAATCAGAATTGAGAGCTATCAGAACTTTTACCAAAGAAGAAGACATTGCATAACAAGTGAGTGTACCGAGTGAAAATTATGCTTTGTGGCAGTAAGAGGTACAAGGCTGAAATTGTTGAAAAGGGTTTTCAGTAGGGGCAGGATATTGCTCATGCAGTGGGAGTTGTAAGCAGATACAGGAATAACTCTGAAAAGAGCTTCGTGGTACAAGGCTACGTTGACGGTGATATGTCATATGAGAGTGTTACTCATGAGAAGCTAAAGTTGTGCTCGACTTCAGCCAGTCTTCTGGCATGAAGACTAAAGCTTTGAGTTACAGAGGTGAAGGATATCATGTTTGAGGAAAATGTCGGTATAACTAGTAAATGATGCAACCAGTAGGTGATGCAGTCAGTGTCCCAGTCTTCAAGTGGGAGAATTGTTGGGTAATGTGGAGACCTGGTCCACCACAATTTAATTAGCTTCCTAATTAAGAATCTCACCTACCGCTCACATACCATCCCACCTACCGTTCACCTATCACATCCCACCTACCGCTCACCTATCACATCCCACCAATCTCCCACCAACCTCTCACTTATCTCTCACCTACCGCTCTCCTGATTTCTATAAATAGTCACTTATGGTTTGTCATAAATGAGTCAGGCCAAGCCAAGTCCTCTAAGAGAGAAAGAGAGGAAGAGAAAGAGATTGAAAAAGAGAAAGAGAGAGTGATGCAATCAGTGTCCCAATCTCCAAGTGGGAGAATTATTGGGTAATGTGTAGACCTGGTCCATCACAATTTAATTAGCTTCCTAATTAAGAATCTCTCATATCGCTCACCTACCATCCCACCTACCGCTCACCTATCACATCCCACCTACCGCTCACCTATCACATCCCCCTACCGCTCACCTTCCTCCCCCTTACTGCTCTCTTGGTTTCTATAAATAGTCTCTTATGGTTTGTCATAAACAAGTCAGGCCAAGCCAAGTCCTCTAAGAGAGAAAGAGAGAGTTAGAGAGAGAAGAAAATAGAGATTTTCTTGTAAACGTCGAGACACTCGATGGTGCAATTCCTCAAAGAAATAAAATCCTCTGCAGCTCTGTGGATGCAGACAAATTTACCGAATCATGTAAATATATGCGTCGCTCTGGTGTTTTTCTGCATGCAATTTTTCTCGTTACATTTTTTCGCTTTATTGTCGTCGTTGTTCACAACAAAACTATCCTAAATCTACATCTGATGTAAGAAATGTTGTTTACCAATAAATAGAGAAATGGATAATTTTTGGAACACTTCTTCTGTTAATCAAAGATACCGTAGTAAATATGTTACTACTAGACCCTTGAATGTTAATGGTGTTAATGTTAAGAATGCTAATTTACCGATGATGCCCCATGATTCAAATATCTTTCTACATCTGATGTAAGAAATGTTGTTTTACCAATAAATAGAGAAATGGATAATTTTAGGAACACTTCTTTTGTTAATTAGAGATACCGTAATAAATATGTTACTACTACTAGACCCTTGAATATTAATGGTATTAATGTTAAGAATGCTAATTTACCGATGATACCTCGTGATTCAAATATCTCGGTTAATGGTATTTCCTCAAGTCATGACTCATCTGATAATAACAATTTCATTTTGCTCTCTAATACTATAAATGAGATTAACTCTGAGGTTAATTACAATAACACTCTTGAGATGGCTATTAATGTAGATAATGAAGAAGATGCTCAATTACACGTGATATATGTCCAATACTTCAGAGATCCACTCTACTGAGGTTATTCCGATTGATGTTGTGGGTTGTGATGTTGATGATGTAAATAACATTTCTAATAAAATTTTTGAATTCTGCTATTGTTACATAAGCTAAAACTTATACTTATAATATTGGTAATGTCGGAATTGTTTTTACTTTTTTAAGTAAAGTTCACAGTATTGCAAATTTTCATAATGATACTATTTCATGAAGTTCTAATGGTGGCAACATTTTTACTATGTTCATTTCAAATTCAAATCCTGCATCTGTCACTAATAAGACTCCTAAGAGTATACATTCCTTTTCACTTGTTGTTGACCTCATTTTTGTGATGGCTGTCTTCTTCTCTTTCTTGAATGTAAGTTCTAGCATTAGATTTTTTAATGGATTTTCTTAGAGGACTAGTATTGTGATCCACACCAACTAAAACTATTTCTTGAGTCATTGTAGCTTCATATGTTTGGTTTTAAATCCTCAATCTTTGGTTGGGTTGATTAAGACCAGAATATTGAAAATTAAATTGAGTTCCAATTGATTGGAAATGTCTTAGAAAACCGTTTGACCTTAGAAACTTAGGTCTTGTGGTGGATCTTTCCTTGGGGCTCTCCACTTACCCTCACTCATTTTTGGAATAATTCTATGTTTAAGTTTTGGAAAGCTCATTTGATTATGAAGTTCTCCATAATTTAAAAAGAAGATTATCCCTAAATGAATAAATGAAATAATGAAATCATCAAAATTCAATACTAAAGAAAAAAATAATAAATAAAATTAAGTCCATTAAAAATCATTAAATCATAAATGAAACATAATTCATAAATAAAATCTTCAAAATTTTCAAAATTAATAACAATAATTGATTTTTCAAAATAAGTCAATAAATTGGAAAATAAAAGAGATAAAAATTTGAAAATTATAAAAATAATTCAAAATTGAATAAAATGAACATAAAATCATAAAAATTAAAAATTAATAAGAAAAATAAAAATTTTCAAAAAAAACATCAAATTCATTATTTAACATTTCATTTAAAATAATTCACTTTAATTTCAAATGATTTTAAAAAATATTAAAATTTTATAAAACACTCATAAAAACATTTAAAAAGATCATCCATAATTTTTTAAATTTTAAAATATTTTAATTTTTAAGTAAAAATGATAAAATCATCAAAAATTTCACTCACACACACACCCTTCCCATGGTAATAACATCCAAGTGATTACCCTGCCATTTAAAGGATTTTTGTTGACCATCTTTGCACACTCAAACCCGATCACAATTGGTTTTGAAACCTCCAAGTCATCCAATTCCAAAACCATCCAATTCTAAGCAAATTTTTGGAGCCATTTTCGAGCCATCCCCAATTTTCAAACCATACCAAAGCCACTTTCTATAAGATTTTGGATACATTACAATCCATATCCTTGCTGAATTTATTGAAGCCATTTCAGTCCTCAATCAAAGCTAATTTGGAGCCACACCTCAAGCCTTTTTCGAGCCACCTGAGCAATCCTAGAAACCACCCAAGCAAGTTTAATTCTTGTTTCAACTTTCTCTCCCCATGGAACAAACCCAATGGCTCATATTGAAACTTCCTTAGCTAATCTTAAACCACCTAAATAGCTCAAATGAGATAGACATGAGCTAACCCAACTTCCAATCTTCCAAAGCACGCTACACTCTTTTCAAAGACTACTTGACATCAATTAATTTGTAGCACAACAAAGTTGACCAAAACACTTGGCATTCTCTGATTGGCTCTCAAGAATTGACCAGCCAAATCACCAATCCATGGAAAACCCAATGAACCAGTCATTGAGCTAGCCCAACCCATTCTCAAAAGCTATCAATACCCTCCAATTTTCGGTCAAATCAACCACACCCATTTGTCATA